GTTAAGTGGACGAGGACAGGCTACCGTGAACCTGCTGGGCTGGCAAGTCCAGGGTGGTCTTCACCAACCAGCACCAGGCTGCAGGATGAGTTAGGGCAGAGGACGCACTGGCTTGGTTTAAGACTGGAGGAACACAGTCGGGACTGCTGGTTTGTGCACAAAAAGCCCCCACCCATCCAAGACCTTTGGTATCCTTTAAGGAACAGCCAGCCCTGGGAGAACCAATCTCTCCCTGAGCCTCTAAGGTCTCCAAGTCCCAGAACATTAGGCATACAGAAAGCACAGTTAAGATGACAGCCCTGAGATGAATGGATGGCAGCTAGACAAACACAGACACTCAGACAGCCAAGTTGCTACGGGAGCCCCTTTGCAGGGACTGCAAAATGGAGCAGCAGCCTTGTGGAACTTGCTGTCCCCCCTCCCCTCAGGGGTCTTCCAGATGGTGTAAAAATGAGATTAATTAACAAGACAGTGGAGAGACGGGGGAGAGCCCAAGGACCCACCACAGCAAGGGGACATGGTTAAGTAGTGATAAGGAAAGAAGGTAAATTAAATGAAACCTTGATGGGGCGAAACAGAGGAGAGATTAAAAGAAGGGGGGAGTCAAGGGACTCATTGTGAGCAGGCTGGTGAGTTACCAAGAACTCGGGGACATAAAACAAACACATGTTTGGTTCAGATTAGGTCTTCATACAGCGTTATGTAAGGCTGGGTAGGCGAAAAGGACCCTTTTGCTCCTTCCCCATGTACAATGATCCTGAACAAGTTTGTTCTATTTTTTTTTTTTCCCGGTACTGAGGATTGAACTCAGGACCCTGCATTTGCCAGGCAAGCGCTTGTTCTACTGAGCAATCTCCTCAGGCCCAGTTTGTTCTATTTATTCCCAGTAGGGAAAAAGTTTTAAAAACCAGAAGGCAAAGATTACAATGAGAAACCTAGGAGCTCCAGTGGCGCGCGGTACTTATACTACAATGAGAAACCTAATCTTCAGTCTCCTGGACAAGAAGAGGCAGAGCAGCCATGAAGAAGACTGAAAAAGGGCCAGGACCCCTTGGCTCTTCCCCTCCAGAGACCCCAGAGCCTTTCCACACACGAGGGAATGAAACAGTCAGGGGCTGGAGGAGAGAAGTTTCCAGAATGGCTCAACATGACAGCTCCATATGCTGGGTTCCAACCCTTGCTGGCCAAGCCCAACAGGATGCCATTAGGTTGGGGAATGTAAAAATGTGAGTTGACAGTGGAAATTCTCCAGACATCGATGATAACTGCTGTTTTGACTGAAGAACAAAAAGAATCTTAAAACCAAAGACGCCACAACGTCGTGGGCGGGTGGTAGCAAGGAAACGCTCTAACATGGACAGCAATACCTGGAAGAGCTCCGAAATGAGACGGACGTGGTTTATGCAGGGTCCTGCGACCTGGGGAAGGGAGGAGCTACGTATAATCAAGGGCCTGCTTCTCCTCCAGCACTGACTCTGGGACTGTGTGAGAAGTCATTGCATTCTATCATCACTTGAAAATAGCCACGTAAAGCCACCCTTCACTGATCCACAAAGAGCTACTTGACTTGGGATGTTGGTCCTGAGGTAAACTCTCTGGAGAAGGTAAAAACAAACTGCTCACTGGGCTGAATTACCTGCTGTTTTTCTCCAGTGAAAGAAGACCATGGAAAGACATGACAATGATAACGTCTCAGTTTTTCTACTCGGTAGGTCCTGGGCAATGGCCAACACCCCACTGTAGGGTCAAGTGGAGGACAACAGTAGCTTGGCTTGTCAACGGGGTGGATTTACACAGGAAGCACAGACGAATGGAAGCCACCATGGGAATCTGAAGGGGTATTAAAGCAAAAGAATCCCCTTCTGGGTTCAAAAGGTGGCCAGAGCTAATGAGTGGCTGTGATAGTAGCCAAGGGGTCTAGAAAAGGAGTGGTGATGCGGGGGGCAGGGGGACAGTGTTAGCAAGGCAGAAGACGGATGTGCTCCTCTGGTGCCTCCTGAGACAAAAACCATCCTACAACAAGAGAGACAGAGACTCACAGGAGACCAGGAAGGTTCCCTGGTAGGAGGCCCTGCATGGGAGTATGATACCAGGAGTCCTAGGGCATACAAACAGGTTCTGGCCAGAAGAGACCTGACGCTGGTCAGACTGCAGATGGAAGAATATCACAGAAAACCGGACTGCAGAGCACAGCACTGGTGTGCACTGCTGAGCTGCGGTCACCAAGGGACTGTTTACAGCCATGACTTCAAGTGGGCAAAGAGATCATCTACTCAGAAACAATCTGAGAGGGAGCTACAGGGGGCATTTGAAACAGGGCGAGACATGGGCATGAAAGGCTGGCTTACACATTTTCACAAGTGTGTGCTCACACTCGAGAGCTTCACGAAGTATCCCTGCTCAGCAGATTCCTCTGCTCTCTGATGAATCTAGGGAGATGGGGGTGGTGGTAGAGGATGCTAATATGACTATGCAGTTCTTCCCAAGGGGAACAGAGAGATATGATCTCTCTCTCTCTCTCTCTCTCTCTCTCTCTCTCACACACACACACACACACACACACACACTTCTCCCTCCCTCTCCCTCCGTGTGTGTGTGTGTGTGTGTGTGTGTGTTTGCCATACTGGGAGAAGAACTCAGGGCCTTCCTTAATATATCCCCAGCCTCTTTTTTATTTTTAGACAGGGCCAACCTAATCACCAAGATGTTCAGTCTAGGCTTCAACTTGAGATTCTCTTGCCTCAGCCTCTCAGAATCCTGGAATTACAAGTAGGTGCCACCACCCAGCTGACAACTCCTTATTTTTCTTCCCACGCACCATCTGAATTTTCTGTTTCCCGCCAGATGCAGTGGTTACGGTACCAGGTCCACAACTACAAGTGCCGGAAACAGGGGTGATTCCTAAGCAAGAAACCGTAAGTATAGTTTACAGTCTTTATATTAGAATTCCCAAGGACACAAGTCCACTGCAGTGAACAGTGGACACAGCTAGATTGCTTGGGGCCAGAAACTGCCCCCTCAATCTCTACACATTGCTTTACCCTCTGTGTATGGAAGTGGACAGAGCAAGAGGAGCTTATGAGGCAGAGACTGTGGCAGACAGCCTGGCCCAGCCTCGAGTTCCTGCCAAAGGCTGGAAAGAAACAGCAGCTGAATCAATGGATGGATACTGGATACCTGGGCATCGAAACAAGTCCTGTGAGTCACCCTGGGGCATTACAGAACCCTTCACTTTATGGCCAAGTTACACCCTGGGCCTGGAGGGGAGGCGTGGAGTCATAAGTCTTGGGGTGCTGAGCCCACCCCTGCTAGGCCTGCACAGCACTGGGAGTCAGTGTCAGAAGTGTGTTGGGTCGCTGGATACCCAGACAGTCTGGAGCACCGGCTGTGGCGTCGGAAAACAGCCCAGACAGCGCGCCCTAAGGAGCGCACGTGATTAGTTTTATCATGGAAAAGAGTAAAAAATGAACCCTTAGAAAGTGAAGCTAATACAGCTGATCACTGAGTCAGCGCCTTACATTCTCAGCGTTTGCTCCTATCTGGTGACAGATTATTAAATGCAACATTTTGTGAGTGGAACAGAGCAGAATCGCTGAGCCTACGAATGCCAGCTTTCCGTGGAGAGCTGGCCCGCTCAGCCGTACCTGCACCCGGCAGGCTGCGGTCTGCGCACCACGGCTCACCTCCCGCGTCTGCCTGCTCCTTGTCTGCGGCTTCCGCACCACCCACGGTTTCCATTTCGGGGGGCTTGCTTAAATCGTAGTCACTCAAAGCCGCCGGACCTTCTAAAAGGAAGAAAGAACTCAGTCAAAGGATTTTTATAGATACATTAAGTAAACTTTATTTAATGTCAGGCTTCATATAATCCCTTAGTGATAAGCACTTTCCCCTTTACATATGCCCAAAGAGATACAGGTGAAATCCCCACAGTTAGAACCACAAGTGAGGTTCCTGCATTGATCCCTTACACCCAGCTTCTTGACTTTTTTTTTTTCTGAAACTGGGGATTGAACTCAGGCCCTTGTGCTTGCCAGGGAAGTGCTTATTCCATGAAGCCATCTCCCCGGCCCCATTTCCTATTTCTGTCACCTGAATTAAAGAGCATTCACATCCCTTCTGGATAGCAATTCTTTCTCCACTGGCAGAGCCCATGAAATCCAGTGGCTGCCACAGCTGCTTTGTGTCTAAGAAGTATTAATGTATAGCAAGAAACTATGGGTTGGGGCCGGGGATATGGCTCAGTGGAATAAGCGCTTCCCTGGCAAGTGCTAGGGCCTGAGTTCAATCCCTGGTTCTGAAAAAAAAGAAAAAGAAAAAAAAAAAAAGAAACTATGGGCTGAGAGATGGCTCAGTAAAGTAAGTGCTTCCCTAGCAAGTGCAAGGGCCTGAGTTCAATCCCTGGTTCTGCAAAAAAAAAAAAAAAAAAAATTAAGAAAAGAAAAGAAAAGAAACTACCCAGCCAGGAAACACTGGGCACCTGATCTACGAACGATGCTTCCTCAGAGGAAGCCTGGACCACCCGAATTGCAGATCCTACTGTCCCCTCCCGCTCCTGTCACATACGTGACTGTGGAAAGCACTTCCTAGTGGCCCTGATTTCTTTGAGCATTTTCACTGCTGGTGAGGCCATAGGTGGGAGTAAGTCACCCCACTTCTGTCATGAAGGGAAGCCTCAGCCACGGTGCAAGAAAGGCTCAGGATGGGAGCAAAGAAGGAGGCGTTATGGGAGCTCCTAAAGCCAAGGGAGATGACAACCTTGTTAAAAATCAAGTTGAAGGGAATAGTAATTTTGTACCCTAAACATTGTTAGTGTTAGAAGTAGAAGCCTAACAAAAAAGGGATGACAGAAGAAATGAGCCAAGAAGTCACTTTCTATCTGCCCCCTTCCTAATACCACCTCTCCAAATACTTCGGTCACAAACAGTCAAAGACACAGAATCACAAGCTGGGAGAGTGGCTCAGTGGTAGAGCACTTGCCTGGCATGCACAGGCGCTGACTCAACCCCCAGGACAGGAAGAAGGCTTTAAAAAGACACCGAGTCCAGCGGCTTTTAAACTGGGCCAGAGTAAAGGGGCAGGGTGTGTATGTGTGTGTGTGTGTGTGTGTGCGCGCGCGCGCGCGCGCGCGCACAGACATCTGGAATGCAGGAGGAAGTGCAAATACACTTCATAAAGTCCACTAAGAATGGGGCCGGGGAGATGGCTCAGTGGAGTAAGCGCTTCCCTGACAAGCGCAAGGGCCTGAGTTCAATCCCCGATTCCAGGAGAAAAAAAAAATCCACTAAGACTCTTACCTGACTTATGAACATGCAAGATTCTCACTTCCCGCATCCTAACGTGCCACCACAGACTCTGGGCAGAGCAGCCTGTGGCATCCCACCCCGAGCCCACTCAGTCTCATCTGAACAGTGGCTTGCTTTTCTCAAGCCTGAGGTGACAAAAAATTTAGAGCACACCTGAACAATTCATATGAGGCTTGGGGCCAAGTAAATACAAGATTACTACTCAGAGTAACACAAAAATCCACTTACGGATTCCATTTAGCAACACAATGTCAGTTTCAAAGTGGGTGAGTGCGTGGGCCCAGGGGACAAGAACAGTTTTTACAGTTTTCATTGTATACCGAAATGCTACAAAGGGACCAAGACCCAATGCGCCCTCCAAGTTCCAAAATATTCCTGATCTGACCCTTTACAAAAATGTTTCCTGATCGCTGGCCTCAAGTGAAACACAGACTGTCCAAGTCTAAGCTGCTGTATTACTAAATATCAAGACCAGCCAATTGAAAAATTAAAGGAAGAAAAAGTAGCAGTGGTCCACACCGCGCAGAGTGTAGCTTGGCCCTACGATGCCAGAGACTATGTATGATCTAAGTGGATGAGTTTCTTCCCTTTTTTTTTTTTTTTGGTGGAACCGGGGATTGAGCTGCGGCCCTCGCCTTTGCCAGGCAAGCGCTTATTCTACTGAGCCATGCCCCAGCCATCCCTTTGTCAGCAGGAGCCAAGTGTATTTCTAAGGCCCGGCTCCCTCACACTTCCCAGCAGCAGTGCATGCACACTCCGCCTCTTCCAGGCGCGGCAGCTCCAGGGAAAGGCCTGGCCTTACCTGGGGACACCGGCTGCTCCTCAGAGCTCTTCAGCACTGCGTTTGGCTGGATATCTGAAAAGAAAGGGTGTGGTTGCAAATATTAGCGCCTGGGGTACATTTCCAGCTTTGAGCATTCCGCGTAAGGGTACCCTCCTGACAAACTTCGCTGCCAAGTTTCTCTTTCGGAGCAGGACCCCACTTCCTCCATGGTGTCCCCAAAAAGCACCTGAAGGAGATGAAAACAATCAGCGATGTACAACTTTCTGCCAGAGATCTCTGACACCACAAACCAGGAGCAGAACACGGGGCCCGAAAAACCTGCAGGTATGTGTTATTCATCGCCCCTAATGTATGCAATTTTTAAAAATTTTTATTTTATTTGAGATGGGTCTTGCCCAAGGTGGCCTTGAAATCAAGCTTCTCCTGGCGCAGCCCCTGCAGTGGCTGGGATTACAGGCGTGCGCCTCCACCCCAGCTTCCTTTCCAGTATTTCATTACCAACATTTCCAAACACACAGAAAGAAAAGTTAAAAAGAAATGCACAGAGAGCACTCATTCCCCCCACTAGGTTCGCTAGTGACGTCACGCTGTATCCTTCTGTCTGCCCCCATCTTCACGCCTGCGCCCTACTCGTCCACCCACCAGTCCAGTTCGTTAGGTGTATTTTCAAAGGTGCAGACTGTTCAACTCCCCTCCTGACACTTTAGCATGCATCATGATTAAAATTCCGTACTTTACAAGATTTTCGGGTAAAATTTATATGCAGTGAAATGCACAGAGCATACAATTAAATGGCTTTTTAAAAGTGCCTATCCCAGCACTCAGAAAGCTGAGGCAGGAGGATCTCCGTGACTTCAAGGTTAGCTGGGGCTACATAGTAAGTTCTGGGCCAGCATGAACTACACAGTGAAACCCTATTTCAAAAAATAAAACAAAATAAAATAATATAACTGTGCCTGTCCTAACAATGCAAATCCCCATCAGGACACAGAATATTATCTCGGAAAAGTTCTCGTGTGTCCCTTCCTGGCCAATATCTTTTTCTGTCATAAATGAGAGCCTACAGACGTACGGTACAATTCCTTTTGCCTGAGCCTATTTTCACTCAACAGACTGCTTTTTTTTTCTTTAGGTGGAACCAGGGATTGAACGCAGGCCCTTACACTTGTCAGGGAAGTGCTTATTCTACTGAGCCATCTCCCCGGCCCCCACAGACTGCTTTTGGGACACGTTCATTCTGTGGCATTTATCAGTGATTCTTTCTTTGAATTAAACAGTGCACCATCACGTGAATATGCCAGTACTTATCCGTTCTCCTGCAGAGGAATACCTAGCTGTTTCCAGTCTGGTCAATTATGAATAAAGCTAATAGAATATTTCTTTTTTTTTTTTTGAGGAACCAGGGATTGAACTCAGGCCCCTGCGCTTGCCAGGGAAGCACTTATTCCCCTGAGCCATCTCCCCGGCCCCAGAATATTTCTTTTTGAAATAAAAAAACCTATTAAATTTTAGACAAGGGCCAATGAGATAGCTCAGTGGTCTAAAGCTCCTGCTTACACAAGCTTAGGCAAGCTCAGGGACTGAGGTTCGATCCCTGGTACCACATGCCATGCCAGCCTGAGCTGGCCACAAAAAAATAAAAAAATAAAGAATTAGTTTCTTGGGCCGGCGAGATAGCTCAGCGGTCTAATGCGCCTGCTTAGGCAAGCTTAGGCAGGCACAGGGGGCCGCGGTTCAATCCCCAGCACCACATGCTGTGCCAACTCCGTCCTCGGAGTGGGCTAAGCAGGCCAAAAAAAAAAAAAAAAAAAAAAAAAAGACATATTTTGGATTTACAGATAAATTGTGAAGAAAGGGTAGAGAGTTCCTAAGCAGTCTATACTCAAGGCTGAGTCTGTGTTCTGCACTCCGTTTCCTCTTTTATCAGCAGTGAACATGGTGCGCGTTCTACAGTTCATGAGCAGATATGACGCACTGTGATTGCCCCGGCACTTGGACGCCTCAGTTCCCAGCTCACAGCCTTGCCTGTCCCGGCCCCCTGCATGCTTAGCCACTGTGTGTCCTCAGGCTCTGCTCCACGTGGTAACCACTCCGGCTTTCTTTATCTTGATGAGCTTGGCAGTCGTGAGGAGTATGGCTCGGGGATTTTGTAGCCTGTCCCTCCGCTGGGATTTGTTTTTCTCACAGGTGGAGTGGGGTGTGGGCATCCTTGTAAAAGTCTTTCTGTAGCTCTACCTCTTCATATCTCTTGAGCAAATACTTGGATGTAGAATTACTGGGTCAGAGAGCAGGCATGTTTAGTTTTAATAGAAACTGCCAGAATGTGTTCAAAAATGGCAGACCTGCCAGGCACAGTGGCACACACCTGCCATCCCAGCACCCGGGAGGCTGAGGCAGGAGGATCACGGCGAGTTCAAGGCCATCCTGGGCTACATAGTGAACTCAAGGCCAGCCTGTCTTACACAGCAAGACCTTGTCTCAAAAAACAAAACAAAACACCCAGAACCATCAGCAACATTCTTCCATCTGGTCCGTATCTTCAGCAAAGTTAGGTATTATTACAATTTTATATTTGAGCCATTCTTTCTCTCATTTGAATTTACATTTCTCTGAAGAACTAATAACACTATGTATGACCAACTCTCCCACATACCACTTTTGTGGTCCTGGAGAGGAAAACAGGGACGTTCTACCACTGAGCTACATCTCCAGCCACCCCCCCCCCATTTATTTTAATGTATTTGGTATAGGGTCTCACTCTGCAGCCTGGACTCCGAGCGATCCTCCTGTTTTCGGCCTCCCCAGGCTGGGACCACAGGCATGCGCCACCGCACCTGGATTCGGTGGCTGGCTCAGCACGCCCAGGGGTGGGGCTGGTGCAGCATGTGGTTCTGGGGTTCCAAACCCAGTCCGTGCACTTGCCTAAGCAGGTGCTTAGTCCCCTGAGCTATCTCGCTGGCCCTCCAGCCTTTTTGAGTTGAGATATAGTCTCACTTAACTTCCCAGTTTGGACTTGTACTGCTCCTGCCCCAGCCGCCAGCGTAGCTGGGATTACAGGTGTGGACCACTAGTCCACTTTCTTCTAGTCCGTGGCTTGCTCATTCATTTTCTCAATGGTGTCTTTTTTTTTGAGACAGGGTCTTACTGTGCAGTTCAGGCTGGCCTTGAGTTCACTACGCAGCCCAGCGTGGCCTCAAACTCACAGTGATCCTCCTGCCTCAGCCTCCCAAGAGCTGGGCTGATGGGTGTCCACTACCACACCCAGCAATGGTCGCTTTTGATACTCAAAAAAAAAAATTTTTTTGAAGTCTAACATATCCATTTAAAAATAATTCTGCTGTCCGCTTCTTATTTAAGAAAACTCTGTCACCTCCAAGTTGTAAGGCAAGCTCCCGTTTTCCTCTACAAGCTTCTGTTTTCGGCTTTTATGTTTCCGGCCACGATCCACATTAAGCAAAGGAGAACTTGAGGTTTACGAGTTTCCACACGGGTATTCAGTGTTCCGAGGCCACTTGTTGAGGACACTTTTCTCTACTAAATTGCTTTAATCCCTGTGTCAAAAATTAAAAGAAGAGTATGACCTTGGGCTCCAGCGACACAGTGTCAGTCTACCAGCACCATGGCGTCTTCCTGAGGTCTAGTAAGCCTGACGTCAGCCAGCATAAATCCTCCCATTTTCTTCTTCACAATATTACTTTGGTTACCTTAGACCCTTTTCATTCCCATGTAAATTTTAGAGTAAAATATTTCTTTTTAAAAGGTTTGCAGGACTGTGATTGGAAGTGCTGTCTAGAGCTCGGCTCTGTCCTGGCCATCCTGCGCCTTCAGCCGTGACGAGGAGCCCTCCTCCGCTGCGGGACGGGGCCATCTTTCATGTCACTCAGCGACGTTTATAGCTTTCATACAGAGACTTTGTGTGACTTTTATTAATTTCTTCCTAAATGTTACGTGCTTTATGATGCGATTGTGAATGAAACTAATTTCTTCCTAATTGTTTATAGCTGGTATATAAACATATAATTGGTTTTTGCATAACAGCGGCGCATCCTGAGGTCTTGTAGGTGAGCCTAGTATTCCTAATCCTAATGTTCCTGAGGATTTTCAAGATGAATAATCATACTAACTGAAAACTGGGAGTTTTACATCTTCCTTTCCAATCTCTGCGTTTAATCTCCTCTTGCTATTCCAGCAGCTGGAAATGCTAGGATGAGTGACAGAAGGGACGGCAGCACACACCCCTACCCTGTTCCAGTCTCCGGGGAAAGCACTTCCTCAGGAATTATTATTTTAACTGTAGGCTTTCCACAGAGCCCAAGAAGGTCCCTTGTATTCTTAATTTTTTTTTGGTCATGAATAAATGTTGAAATTTGTTAAATACTTTTCTTTTACCTATTGGAAGATCTTCTAGGGCTGACTGATGTTTAGCCAGTTGTCTAGTTGCTATTCAAAGTGTGTTTACTCCACATTTGCTTTGTCAGTTTGAAAGATGATGTTATTTTACTCCTGAGACAGACCCTGCACTTCTCAGATAAACCCCTCCCTGCTTGGTCATGATATAGTTTCTATTTTGTGTATTCCTGGATCCGGTTGCTAAGATTTATGGAAGTGTTATGCATCCATTTTCCTGAATTACTTGGGCCCGTAATTTTCTTTTTTTTAATGTTAGGTTTAGATATGAGTTTTGTAGAGGTTCCTTCTCCTTTATTTTCTGGAGTTGTGTAATCTTATTTCCTTAAATGTTTGGTAAAATTTAACTGTGATATCATTTGGGCCTTTTGGGTTTTTTTTTAAAATAATAATTTCGATATCTTCAGTAGGTATAGGACAATTCATATTTTTATACTATTTTGCCTTAGTTTCAGCAAGTTTTATTTTTAAAGAATTTAGCTATTTTAAATTGTCAAGTTTATAATTTAAGTTTGTATAAGGTTGTAGCATTTCATTGTTAATCTTTTTTTTTTTTTTTTTTGCGGAAACAGGGATTGAACTCAGGCCCTTGCACTTGCCAGGCAAGTGCTTATTCCACTGAGCTATCTCCCCGGCCCTGTTAATCTTT